GTGTGTGTGTGTGTGTGTGTGTGTGTGTGTGTGTGTGTGTGTGTGTGTGTGTGTGTGTGTGTGTGTGTGTGTAACAATAAACAGCCTCTCAGTAGCCATCATTCCCATCACAGTGCTTAGATCCAGGTGTGGTTGCAGGTGTCACACACATTAGGCAGAAATAGCCGTGTTTCCGCCCCAGTTATGATTCAGTTCTGAACGTCCATAAAAAGTAATGGCATCCATTTTTTTGTCAGTTCAAAGCACATAATTACTGTCAAAAGGACAAAATGACCAAATTGCAGATAAGTGACAGTTTTTCCCTTTTTTTTAGTCTGGGTGCAGATGCCAGCAAACTCAATAAACTGATCCGGAGGGCCAGTAAGGTTGCGGGGATGGAACTGGACTCTGTTAAGGTGGAGATGGAGAGGCAGATGTTGTCCAAGATAAGGACAATGCTCCATGACGTGCTGTCCAGTCACAGGAGATCGTTCAGTGCACACACTTAATATCACGTACAGTCTGAGAAGAGAGGCGTTTTCATTTCAACCATTTACATTTGTGTTATATCCTGGGATATTTATAGTTGAGCAATCTGTATATTTTATTTTGCTATATTTTGTAACTTTGTAATATATTGTAACATTTAATTTAGTTTATTCAGCTACTGTTCTTATGGTCTTGTAGCAACTGTGACCATGTGACTATAAATTATTCTGATTCTGTTATTGATGTTCTTCCATCATCGGAGCCACACCCAGATCTGTGTGCTTGACTTACCTGTGTGGTTAGGTCATCAATCTGTTTACACACTTAGACACGTGTTTGTGTAATGTCCTTTGAAGTAACACTAACCCAACACAACTGTGCGCAGCAGACCTGCACAGACAGCAAGTAGCCGTAGCCGTACGCTGTCTCTGCTATTCATTCGACTTTAACAGATGTCACGGGAGGCTGACTTCATGCAAACTTTTTGCGTCACTGTTGTTGCCTACAGACACACATGGATGTGCATCCTTCGTAGCCTTTCTAAATTGATGCCAACAAAGAAATTCAGAGGAAATGTATTTTGATCAGATTACAGTGCAGGTGCCCGTATGTAAACCCCGCCTGTCAAAACTTTCCCCTGAATGCACCATTACCATTCAGAGCAGTGGAAAGTGGAAAGTCAGAGAGAGAGACTAAGATGAATGCTGGTGATAAAAGGAGAATATCAAACAGATGGAGGAGGAGAGGAACAGGCAAAGCTTCATTCATTCAGTTTTTTTGTTTGTTTGTTTTTAAGCGGTTGAACGGTGCACAGTTAAACAGCTGAACAACACAATCATTAAAGAAATGTTTAATTTGTAGTGAAAAAGTGTTTAATTCTCTGTTTTTGTCCTTTGCTCTTCAGGACCCGAGGTCAAAGCACAAGTTTAAGATCCACACCTACTCCAGCCCCACCTTCTGTGACCACTGTGGCTCCCTACTCTATGGCCTCATACACCAGGGAATGAGATGTGACCGTATGTAGTACACCCGCCGCCCATTTATGCATGTATCGCATACTGCAGCCTTACGATTGTACCATCCATATTTAGATTGTACAGTATTTAGGTGGTATGCTCACACAGAGGGATGTACAAAAGGTATAATTAGGTAGAACATTATTCATACCTTAATGTTATTAAAGGGGAGGGATGGTGACTATATTGGGGAAAGGTGCTGGATATGTAGGCAGGAAGAAAAGAGGAAGACCACAAAGAAACTTCATGGATGTAGTGAAGGAGGACATGCAGTAGTATGTAATCATTTTATGGCACACATATCACTATGAATAATACTCTTGCATAACATTACAAACATATCTGTGGGTGTGTGTGAATATGTATTTTTCAGACTGTATGATGAACATCCATAAGCGATGTGTGGCCAACGTGCCAAGCCTGTGTGGCACAGACCACACTGAGAGGAGAGGTCGCATCCAGATCACCGCCGAGGTTAAGACCAATGTTCTCACTGTTACCAGTAAGTATATTCCAGAAGCATACACACGTTTACAGCCTACACACACCTGTGCAGTCCTCCGGCTTGCTTGTCATTTTAAAGTTTGAGAATACCGGTCTTCTGTCTCCCTCTGCTGTTGGCAAAGATGAAGGATGGAACTGAAATATGAGCTCACGCTTAGAAATCACTCTCGTTTGGTCTGCATTCATTTCCACTTTCATTAGAGGAAAGTGCCACACACTTTGGTCTGTAATAATGTAATAATTTATTCAGATACACCGATGTTTCCTCTGTGAAAGGAAAATGAGCCTGGAGTACAGTCAGTGTGTATCTTTGAAAATTAACACAATATACTTAATAGAAGCAGGTTTGCTTCAATCAGACTATGTATAAAAATAGTTTGTGGAATAAAATTTTGGAAGCCTCAATTTTAGGACTACGGCCATCTTGGATTTTTGGATCCACACGTGACCACATTTGGACGAGTTATCGGCTAATGCCCACAGGCTCGGTTAGCAAATTGCAGACATGGACTGTGTGAATGCCTCACACAGACACACATTCTTGTAAATGAGTGCTCAGTGACACGCTAATAAAATACTAGAATTTCAATCACCATAACTGGGTTACACACTTATGATATTTGCTCTCTTTTTGCCGAGGAGTTGCCACAGCTGATGGATCTGCATGTTTGATGGCGTCTTTTATTCCACGCACAGTTGGTGTGGAGCACCCACAATTTCGTTGTATGTGCGGTGAAACTAAAAGGCTATTCTCTTCCATTCTAATTGAATATTTTAAGAAATCATCTTTCGTTCAGTTGTTGAAATATACAGACCAAAAGCTTTACCGTATTTGAACCTGGCTGCAAACATGTTTATTTCAGATCTAAAGTTGGACTTTTTTTTCAAAGCCTATACTGTCAGCTCAGAATTGTGATCTGAACACGTTTTGCTTTTCCAAGATGATCTTTACATGTTCTGTTTGGTTATTTATTAACCATTTAAAGTGCTTTATTTATATTTATTACCATTATAATGGCGCTATGTCCAAGTAGCCCCACTGCAGTTACTGGTATTATTTCTGGGCAGACTGAGGTGTGACTGAACATGAAATCATTTACCATTCTCGACTCAGCTAGTGAGAACACGGCCTCATTTCTGTGAAGTGTTATCCCGAGGTCCAAAACTCACGAGATGCTGTCAGTGATTAAAAAGGTCATTTGGCAACTCTATCAGATGCTGGACTCTAGTGCTTAACCACACCACAACCTAGAAAACTATTAGAGTGATGCAATATTAGGGATGATGATAACAACTGCAATCTCCCTGCTCTCGTGGTCATTTGGCATCAAGTCATCAATCTGGTGTTAGAATAAAGGAAAAAACGGATTCATTAATTGTTAATTAATTCAGTTTTTTACGTTACATTTGTTACATTTTCAGATTCAGATTGCAGTGTGTCGCATATCAGTACGTTAATAGTCTCACTTTTCATTGATATCATGACTATTTAGCATTCCTCCGTCAGCTGACTTAATTTATGTGTCCCCTATGAAGTCGCTTCATGCACTGAGCCGTCCTTCACACTGTGATTTAACCAGTGCATTCAGGCAAAGCTAGCGCTCTCTCTGGGTTAAATATATTGAAACGATGATGGGATACACTGGGTAAGCAAGTTGAGTCAATTCCAGTGTGTTGTGGACTGTGTTTCCATTTGTTCTTCGGTTTGTCTGATTTTTTTTATTTGCCTGCCAGACGTTACGCGTACCACTGACATTTGCACAGTAGTGAAAAATGTTTGTGAAACCATGTTTATGTATTTGGCAGTCAGAAATTTCACCTGCTTCGCTCGGTCATGTCTGGCAGCCAAAGAATAAATAAAAAAGCAGGGTGCTGCTCAGAGAAATCACTATCTGCCAAGCTTTCAAAAATATGAAATATTAATTATTAATAAATTCATCTGGTTAAACTGTTTTTTTTCTCAACAACTCAGAGGAATGTTTTATTTGTGAAATATAAGTTATTAAAAACTACAAAAATCTTTACTGTAAATTAAGTGATGGCTCTCATGTCGTGCACATATAAAAATGGTTATCGTGGCAAATGTTAGTATGCATGTCAGTACAATATGTAGACATTCATGTTGTATCATTTAAGCAAGTGTTGTTTCAAAGAGATATACTATTCACTACACTGTATGCTCACATCATTCTTGGAACAATGTTTCTGTCTATTTAACTGAAAAAAAATTGGAAAAGTGGAGAGAAACGTCGTTACATTGATCCGCAGTGCCTTTTATGACCTGCAGGTGGCTGCAGAGATTTACATTAACGTTTTTCATTACCCTGATAATCACAGCTTTGCCTCAAACGAAAAAATAACTTTATTGAGGATCCGTACTCCACCTGTGTGATGTGAGTTCCTAAACTCGGCTGCATAAACCTGCTCCAGCTTCAGATGTGTCACAGTTCATACTCGAGCAGCAGGTGACGTAGTGATAATTAATGTGCAGTTTTCTTCCCTTTTTTTGTCCTTGTGTTTTCATCTAAACTTCAGCATATGAATAAGCATCTCATAAGATATCCTATCTCAAATCTTAAGCCATAAAACTCCTGTTGTTTCCTAAGCCATGCCGAGTCTTCAGTTTGCTTCATCTCTTATTTTTTGTTGTTCCTCCAGCTCTGTAAAAGCAAAGAGTTTGTAAAGTAGTTTTTGGCAGTGCATCTCCTTACAAAGCATAAATAAATGGTGGCTGACTTCTTCCTGATCTACAAATGCATCCAGGCATTTTGCTGCAGTTATTGATTGGACCCATGAAAACAAACAGTGTCCTCACTAAATATTCCATAAATGTTAGCGAGAACTTGTAACAGCACATTCATAGGCCTGTTATTTTTGCATGTAGGATATTTTCCCTTTATTGGCTCTTGCTGGGTTTAATTCCTCCGCAGATTCCCCTCCTCTGTTCTCTCTTTCAGATTCCCACGCTCGTAGACTGATCATTAAGTGGTGGTTACTCTGGGAAATGATAAGAGAGCAGACTTATCACATGCAGACTGCTAAGACAGCAGAAAAGGCTAAACATTCACTGGTGCTGCAAACCAGAGCAGATGATAGTTGAGCTAGATGGTAGAAAATGTCAAAGTACATTAACTAAAGCTATTTACCATGAAGTTTAGTCTCATTTAGATTTCGGTCTTTCACATAAACTGATTTTTATGTTAATGTGCATATAACTTGTGGTTGTGTTTTGCAGATTATAGTAAAAGGAAGATTTGGAGGAGTAGTGCTTGCTTTTGTCCACAGGGGTCAGTGTGGAGCTATGATTGGCGTATACCCTCTATGCAGTGAGGTAGAGGTGGGGGGAAATGCCACCACTGAGAATGAATTGCAGAACCACTAGGAATTATTTTACAGCTTAATGTAGCGGGATCTGGTGAAAACAGCTGCTACGCTGAGAAGTGCAATTGGGTTGTGGATTTAATCAAAGCAATTGACATTGGCGTAAAGTGACACTTTAATAATCAATTTTAATTCACCTCCGGCCTCTTTCATAGTCAGATTAGAGCTCAGGTCACTGGCAGTACAGTGCACATGGAGATGGGGGGGGGCGTCAGCCTCCAGCAGGGAGAATTCAGTGGGACACTAAAAGGTGCCCTCTGTCTTTGGTACTCCACCCAAGCTGCCTAATAGTGAGGTAGGGGATCATTTACCTCTTTTATACAGCCTGTTGTGTGTCTCTAGCTGTTCTGAAAGGTGGGATGTATTGGTATATAACTACAAAGACTGAGGAGAACTGCAATAAAGTTCAAACCCTTTCCAGCTCCTCTCCAATCAGTGCATAGCTGGCCAGTTGTTTAGTGAAATGGCCTTCTAACTGCTCAGGAGCTGGGAATAAAAACTTGATGCAACACAAACAAGGAATGTTGCAGCATTTACATTAGACGCTTTTACTAAAGTCTAATTTAAATCAGAGAATGAAAAGGGGAGGTGTGGGTTCTGTCCAGATATTCCAGCTTCCTCCTACAGTCCGAAGACATTTTATGTCAATTGGTGAGACTAAACTGGCTGTAGGTGTGTGAATGTGGGCTTAAATAGTTGTCTGTCTCTCTGCATTAGACCTGACATAGGATGTGACCCCCCTTTTGCTAACCCTAACCCTGTCCACAACCAAGAACTGGATGAGCAATTAAGAAAACAGATGAATGAATAGACATATAGGTGTAGATCACAGGAGCAGGAGGGGGGCGCAAAGGAAGTAGGCTTGTCCCAAAACATGACTATGTTTTTGATTTTTGTTTTTAAAAATAGTCAATATACTGAAACTGAACCAGGGACAGATGGATATCTTCAAGCATGTACGGTATATTGCATAATTCATTAGCTGAAAATCAGCAGCCAATCAAGAGCAGAGAGAAAACGTGGGTCAGGTGACACTGCAGGCATTTGGAAGTACAGGTGGGAGTAGCAATGCCTGTCTGGGAAAACCACAGAGCCACAGCACATTATTTCCTGCTTTGTGAGGCTCAGATAAGATGTTAAATATCTAGACTCTTCAGACTTTGGGTTATTATTGTTGTCATCTGTTCAGGCATCCCAGACTGAACACTGTCAACATCCACCGGATGACATTCTCAGAAAAGCTTTTGCAAGCAAGAAGAAGGTGGATATAACCCAGTAATCCTACTTACCATCCTATGAAGCTGCTTCACAGGGGAAAAGGGGCACAGCCAACACCCACGCAGCACTTCACATGTAGTATTCTGCTGTAACTGCACTCTTATCACCTCTGCCTGCCCCTCACACACAAACACAGACCCGTACATGTGCCTTTCAGTTAGCACACACTGGATGCAAGCAAGAATTTCTCACCTGTGCATACACAAACAGGTCCATTCACTTCTATAAAAACGGCACGTCTTTACTGTAAGTGTCCTTTGAGACTCTTTGGCATGCTACCCTCTTTACAGCTCTCCTCCTCGACCTGCATTTGATGGTCACTTTAACGGGCATCATCTAATATTTATTGAGCTGCTTCACTGAGGGCTTAATGCTGGCCAATGGCTGTGTGCTGTGGTTAACCTCCTGGAGTTTAGTGTAGAGTAATGGTTAAAGAGCATGAAGACTTCATCTCTCTGACATCTTTGAGGTTTTTCTCACACTGTGAGTTCACTGGCAAGCTGCTCTAGTTTCTCCTCTGGCTATGCTGCACGTCCCCCAAAGGATTATTGAGTAACAGTGTGCAACACTTTTTGTCAGTATGCAAACAGACCTTTCACCAAATTTAGCTAAAATAAGTCGCAGTGCATGCTACTTTTTCTCTCGCCCTCCACTCGTTAAATAGCACAAATTCTTCTGTGCTGCACTGGGAGATCAAAGCCGCTACTGAGTCTGCTAAAATTCACACGCTCAACCCAGATTGCAATAAATGTTTGGCTTAAAAGTGGCAAAGTTATGCACTTCTTTTATGGGCCACATTTGTCTTTGCCCAGGGTGAATCTGGCTGCCTCAGCTCAGCCAGAGGTCCAACTTATAAAAGGCCAGATATGAGATGTGCTGTGACATTTGAGCCACATCTGGCTCATCCTACATCTGCTGGTGCAACAACTGTGCTGTAAGTGAATAAAATAGGCAAAATTAGTATGTCTCCTATCTGGGTAAAGACCCATTGTCAGAAAATGGCAATATAAGATGTACATGTAGTCCTTTAAATGCACCTTTATAGTAGGGCTGTGCGCTATGGCAAAAATCTCATATCTCGATATAAGACATTTATCGTCCTGACAACAATATAAATCACAAAAATGTAACATTTTCTGTAAATTCTGTGAATCTCGGGCAACTCGACTTGTGTGAAGTTTTTCCAGCTGGGCGTCGTGTACCTGGAGTCGAGTGTTTTAACCGATGCATGAAACTATACATTTAGACATAAGTTGTAATGGTCACCAGTTTCTTTCAAAGTTTGAGTCTAAGTTTTATTTTTTAGCACCTGATGGCTCCTTTTTTTTCTTCTCATCCGTAAACTCTCTGCATACTCTTTCACTTGATTCAGTTTATTTTGAAAAGTCTCAACAGGATCTTGAGCTTTATTGTGAAAGGTTTACGTGGAAAACAAACAAGCGGACATCGGAGCCACGCGATGGTTTTACTGTCATTGTTGCTAAGGACAACACGTAAAAACAGGCGCTTGTCGTCCATAGTGTGGTTATTAGGGGTGGGTTTTTATAATCGATTTATCGATTAAAATCGATTCTGGCTTGGATAACGTGAAATCGATTCATTAAAATCCAGGATCGATTTTTTAATATAAATTTATTTTTCCCGAAATGCCAGAATCTCAGGTGAAACCTCACAAAATTTCAACAACCACCAAACAGCTAAAACAGTAAATGAGAGCAGGAACACTGATCTGCACAAAGACTTAAGCACACAGCGGGACCCGCGGATCAGAATCAGTGAGATGTCACCTTTCTCACCGACGGCAAGGACACAGTTGGGGCTGAAAGCCGACAGCTCGCTGATTCTGATCTGTCGGCAGGTCCGCGCTTTGTTTTCACGTCCTTTTTGCGCTGATTCTAAAGCTGTTAGTTTGATCTCTCTCCAAACAATATTGACCGAACCAGCAGCATCGTCATGGACTTTTGCTGTTTTGCTTCCACCACAATAAAATCACACATCATGCACAGCTCTCTCTCTCTCTCTCTCTCTCTCTCAGTATACTTGAACAGTTTCCCGTCTAAAAATCTGTTTTCTTCATTATTCGCTTGCTTGTTACGCACAAGTCTACCGTTGTTTACAGCACTGTCGGCCGCTGTTTTTCCTTTTACTTACTTCCGAAAAGAAAACCTAATTTCTGCCGTTCAATACTGGACAAATTTAAACTTTTTAAAATTATGCAAAATGCAAAACGCACAACCTCTGTAACATCAGAGGTAATGTTCATATGTTGATTAATGATTTTCTTTCGTTTTTGATGTACTGCAGATTATTTTTATAAAATCCCAGGCCAGGAAAATCACCTTCATGTTTTTCTGTGTTTTATCTTCAGCTACTTTGACACAAAGGCATCTGCTGTGATGCTCACACCTTTGATAAAGTCTTGCGTGTGTCAGCTTCGTTTTTATAGATACAAAAATATGTAAATGTACTGATCCGAATTATAATATTTCTGACTGTCAAAATTTCCCAGATTCAAATCGAATCGAATAGAATTGAATTGAATCGTGGATCGAATCGATTCTAGAAATCAGTGACGATACCCAGCCCTAGTTGTTATATTAAATATAAGAGAAAGAGAGAACTTTAATAAATTAATATAGCCACTACAGTGACCATCGAAACCATGAAAAAATATTGCTGTAAACAGTTTATTTTATGACACCAGGAAACAAACGATAGCGTAAAATGAAACGATAGACGTTTTTATATCATCATCCGATATATATCGTTATATGGAACAGCCCTACTTTATAGGTCAAAAGTCCAAAACAAATCCATACAGACAACCTGACAAAGAGCAAGGAAAAGACAGCACGATTTATACTCTCACACAACCGAGACACAACCGACACAATCACAGGGGAGGAAGTAATAATGAATACAAAGCACAAGAGAAAAGGGAATACCAAAATTAAACAGGAAGTAACTAATGCAAAGGTTAGACACAGCAGGACTTTACGATAAGGCAATCACTGGGAACAACTAGTAAAGCATAGAGTCCTGTGAGATCGATGAATGGAATGAAAGTGCTTATCTGTTTTCTTTATATTTAATTTTAACAGGATGTGATCGCTTGCCCTGAAAGCAGTGTAGATGAAATATTGCACATAACACCTTAGTTTATCATGTTTTGCCAGGAGGTCCACAACCAAAATGACAGCGCTCTAACCAAACACATTTGTTTTCTGTGTGTGTTGCATGTGCAGTGACAAAGGTCTCGTGTGCTTTTGTGTGTCAACTGCTTTCCTAATGGGCTGCCTAAGACACAGCAGCCCCGCTTTTGGTAATTGGATGTGACCTCACAACTTGACCGGGAACTGTAACTGTGCGCACATGCAATTTAACCCACACTCTGACCGCGGGGGATTTTACACCACTGGAATACAATTACAGCCCAATAACAAACAGCCACATAAGAGGGATTAGTGTTGGAACTGGCAACCTTCATCGGTCTACACGGTCATTACAGACAGACTCTGTTAACCTCAAGGCTGTAGCCTCCTGTATAGTTAGGTTAAGCATGCCGAAATTTAATTTGTTGATTTCAGGGCAGAGTTTTGGTTTCCAATCTAAGGCTCTTATTTGACTGAATTGCAGTAACGAGTAGGACAAAACTGCTAAAACAAGTACGCATTCTCTGAAACACAATGTCTGGAAATAAATAAAGGTTGAAGTTGAACTGTTAACTTGGTCTAAAAGATGGAGTGACTGCAAGTTTTTTTAAGGTGGCTAAACCCAACTTGGGTATGCAATATGTGAGCAACGTGTTAAGCAAAATTCCTTTAATTTTGCAAAATCATTTATTACTGATTATTTACAGGGTCAGTAATAAAAGCTACTGCTTTTGGCCTCGACTTCGTATGCTCCGTTTAAATCTGTTTGGTAATTATGACATGAATTTTATAAAAATGTCTGATGGGATTAAATGAAATGATGACCATTTATATCCAAAAAGTTGCTCTGACATTATGAGTGTTCTGCGGAAACTCCTGCCACAGTTCTGACCATATTTCACATAGCACCCACCCTGAAATGGTTGTAGAGCTTTCCTGCTGCAGGCTTGAAGACGTGTGTAAAGCACGTAGAATTTGTAGCCTGTTTGCAGCAACATCCAAATTTGAACCATTGTTCTGTCAAAATCTGCTTTATTGACCAAGCATGAATAATAAAGTTTCTCTTATGAACCAGCGTGGATGCAATACAACTAAAACAACCAATAGATTGGTTGGCATGGGTATTCACTGCCAGGCAGTAATTCTATTTAAAGCAATGTCAGCTCATTCATCACTTTAAAAATAAAAACAAATGCATATTTGCTTCAGCTTCACCAAGCAGGAAAATTCATACGAGGCAGGAGAAAAGTGAGTGCAGATATATGGGATTATAAATATTTGGCTAAAACCAGGTGGTGTGTCCTTAAAAGTTAGTCAAAAATTAAATTTGAATAAACATATTTGTTCTTTATTTTAAGTTTTAAGAATAATAATAATTAAAATTATGTCCGCATTCATTTATATTCATAAATTCCCACCATTCCTAATTCAGCTTGTTTTATGAGAGTGATCATTAAAGTTCTTTTAGCTACATTTAGTTACATTTATATGTAGAAATAGTTCACCTTCATATTAAAGCTGTGGTTTCTTACACGCTTGTGTATTTTCTGTCTCAGTGTTGTGCAGAGTACTTCTCCTAAAGAAAGGTTTATAAATTAAAACTTTCAATGCTGCTTTTAAATTAGTGTCTATTCTCTTTTTTTCTTCCCTTCTCTCCCCTCACACATCTTGTTTCTTTTTATTTCTCCCTTCAGTCAAAGAGGCCAGGAATCTGGTTCCCATGGACCCCAACGGTCTGTCAGACCCTTATGTGAAGCTTAAACTGATCCCGGATCCCCGCAGCGAGAGTAAACAGAAGACCAAGACCATAAAGTGCTGCCTCAACCCCACCTGGAACGAGACCTTTAAATTGTAAGACTTTATCACGCCAAGTGTGAGGCTATCTTATTTATTTATCAGCCTGTCTTTCCTGTGTCCCTTTATCTCTTTTTTGTCTTCTCCTCACTCGCTCAGTGCAATGATCTGAGACCGCGTCGCATTATGCTCGTCTTTCCAAGCATGTGTAACCGCTGGCGCTCAGTTAAAAACATCTGGCGCCTCATTTTTGTAAAACCTTGCTTTTGGGGTCGTCTGCCAAAGTTGGCTCCAGTGACTTACTTAATAAGGCATGTTGAATTTACTGTGGAAGTGCAGATGTTCACTCTGAAATGCTATCATTTCTATCAATGTGTCTAAAAGAAAGAAAAAAGTATGCACAGAAGAAAGATGGAAAGCTTTCCTGATACCTTATCAGAGGAATGATCCCAGGAATAAATGTGGAAGATGAAAAAGAATGAATTCAACACTGCTCCCGTGTGTCTTTAAAACTGAAACCTTTGACAATAACCACACCTACAGTTATCACTCTCAGCCATCAACTGTTGTTTGTCCTTCCTTCTCTCGCAGCCACCTGAAAGAATACGATAAGGACCGCCGTCTGTCAGTGGAGATGTGGGACTGGGACCTGACCAGCCGCAATGACTTCATGGGATCACTGTCCTTTGGCATCTCGGAGCTCCAGAAACAAGGGGTGGATGGATGGTGAGATGAAAAAAAGGAGGAATAGAAGAGGGCGTAGAGAGGCATGAAGCAGAGAAACTGTGGTGGTAGAGGAGGAGGAGGGAAAGGTGACCTTGTTCATTAATGCGCTGTAGGAGAAATACTTTAGTTAGAGCTCCTCTTTTTAGTCTGATTATACTCAGCGCCAGAGCAACTCTACCCCCATCTCTTTATCTCTGCTTCTTTATCTCCACCACCCTCCCTCCTGCACTTTCTATCTGTAGCCCAGTCTCTATATCCATCTTCCTCTCTTTTGTTTTTTGCTGACGCTGCCCTGTCAGGGTTTTTAATGAGATGCCAGGTTTTGAGGTGGAATGGTGGAGGTGGAAAGATGCCATTAAAAACCTGATGTTCAGAGTGAACCTGTGCAAGTTTTCCTCTATTCCGTCTTCGAGCAGCCCTCACACTCGCTAGCGAGAGGAGATACAGAGCGCGAGTAAAGCTAAAGCTCTGTATGAGACTGTGGTATTTGAAATAATGCTAAAACATACTTGTGTCCTAATAATAGTTTGCAGATATGTACAGTGTGTACATTACTGTGCAGAAGTCTTGAGCCACCCCTGATTTTTTTTTTTATTATTCTGTATCCAAGGAGACACACTTTCTTCTGATTTCCTGAAGCTCTTCTAAGGTTTTTCATTGGACATTGGCTGGTTTTTCACCCACCTTCAGTCCAGTATTTTTCTTTATTGAACTACTTAATGCTGACCTAAGAGTCATTAAGGCATAAAAAAGGCATTCATAATTAGCAAAGAGCCGTATAATAGCATCTTTAGGTGCTTTGTTACTAGCAGCCTGTCTCATAGGACAATTGTATTCCAATTTCTTTACTTGAAACTAAAAAATATGTCAAAGTTTGACACATAAAACAATATTTTTGCACCAACAGGGTGATTCCCAGAGTGCTATTAGCTGCAAACTTGGCACTCAGCACAGTGTGCAGTATGTCCCTAAAGAAATTTGAGGAAACTGGACAAGTAGAGGACAAAGGAAGAAGTAGCAGTCCTAAAAACTATCTACAACACATGACTATCAGCAGATGAAAGTTATGTCCTTAAGAAATGGGGAAAAAATCCAGCAGAGACCTGACACAGAGATGCAGCCTAATCCGAAGCCTAATCGGAAATGTACTAACTCTGTTTTTGTCTTATATACACACTATTTCCACATGTGATTGCACATGTTTCAATAAATTTCCCATTTTCCTAAAAAAAATATAAAGAAATGAGGGGCAGCCTGAGACTTTAGCACAGCACTGTAAATGTACACATGTAAGAATATGAGTTCATTATAGGATTCAAAGTTTTGGTGATACCTTTTATATATTGTTGGCAGTCTGAAGGAGCTAGCACAAACTCCATCAGTATGCAAACATACTGGCTGTCATTAATAAGTGTTTATTATGAGATAAGCAACCATGACCAGCTTGTTATCATGTGTTAATTTCGGTAACAGCTCCACCTTGCTGCTTAAAGGGCAGATTTTTGCTAGTAAGTGGAGTACAGAAACCAGAAAGGTAGCTCCTGATAAACAACAGTGTCACTTCATATCTGTTTCCCATGTCATTTTTTAACATCGATTAAAATCTTGCACAAGTGGTTCAGAGAATAGGGAACAAGCCAGTTATATTATCTACTTATGCTTCATCACTGCCAAAACAGGAAAATGAAGAACGATTTTAACAAAAATAACTGTGGCATGAGACGTAACTGCTTGAAACACAGCTCAGCTCTGACAGTCTAACTGGCTGAGGAGGCATATTTCCTAACAGCAAAGAAAGTAAAGAGCAGGGATCTGTTTCCCTGCATCTATAAAGGCCAAGCACAAATGATTTGCTATTTAAAAATGTGAAAACTATATAGTATTGATTTTGTGGGACGATAAGCGTCTCCACTGTGTTTTGAGCCCATCTCAGGCTTTGTTAAAATACCATGAAGGGGAATGAATTGGTAAATAATGGCCTGATTATTCTTTAGGCCCTTAAATTGGTGCAGTAACTGTCAGCAGCTTCAGTTAATGGCAGCAGTTAAACACCCCAGTTGTATAAACTAATTGGGAATTGATTTGACTGGAAATATTCTCTCACTTTAGGTTTAAGCTGCTCTCCCAGGAAGAAGGCGAGTACTTCAATGTACCCGTCCCTCCGGAGGGGGAGGAGGGCAACGAGGAGCTACGGCAGAAATTTGAGGTGTGTGTGCATTAAAATCTTAAAAGTTGACGTACAGTGCAGGTGATTAAAGGGTTACCTGTGTGCGTGCGTGTGTGTGTGTGCATGTGTGTGAGGAGTATGCATCTGTGTGTGTCTGAGTGAGGGCCACTCTGGGAGAACTGTTAGCAGTTGGCAGGCACACTTATAGCACCATCCGGTCTGGCACACTGCAGGCCCAGTGTGTGTGTGTGTGCGTGCGCTCGCGCGTGTGTGCGTGCGTGTGTGTGTGTGAGTAACAGCTGACCAGTAGGCCCATTCATTTGGCAGTGTTGAGGATAACCACTTTGTTTTTTCTCTCTCTCTCTCTTTTACTCGCCTCCTTCTGTCTTTGTGACACTCAGCCACAAACCTGAAAGACTTTTTGTGAATGTGTTAAAATAGTGATGTTAGTAGCAAATTTGCTTCTGTCACAGTTTAGGAAAATGTTCTTGCAGGGCATGTTAAAAAAAAAGAAGATGAAAAGTACACAGTTTGTTTGAAATACAGTCTTGTCCAAAGGTCTTTAACCCCACCCCCAATTTTTTCATGCATTAAATTTTTTTTTTCAGGTCTGACGCTTCTATTGTTCTCAACTTGTACAGTTTCCTTAAATTTTTTAGAGACATGCTGCACACCATACTGAGATCCACTCATTTTTCTGATTCTAGCTAATCCTGATGGTGCAAAAATATTACTTTTTATGTCTGTGAAGCTGCATTACCACTGGCATGGTTTTTGGCAGGTTCAAGTGAAGAAATGGAAACAAATGATGTATTTTTGTGGCTACTAGTAACAAAGGAAAGACACTATTTACAATTGGTTCTTTGTTGTGTGTAGACACAATGCTGGGTCATCCCCTGAGTTAGGGGCTTTTTTTATTCTTGAATGACTCATGGCTCATAGTTAAGTGGCTTAACAGAAAATAAAAAACTTTGAAAGAGCTTCAGAAAGCCTGGAGAACAATTGCTCAAGACTACGTAAAAAAATTTCTACAAAGTCTGGCTCCTAAGAAGCAGAATTTGTAGAAATGAAGTTGAAGAAATGAAGACTTTTACACAGTACTGTAGGTGACATGTGTATGGGCGTTTTCTTCTAATTGATAAGAAGATTGGCATCACTCTCGTGTCTGTACACAGACACTGGGGGATAAAACAGTTTCCTCTGTTGATGGCCGACATGAGTGTAGGGGGATAAAACTTTTAAGGTTTTGACCAAGAAACGGTGAACTAAAAATGCAGGACACAGAATCAGAGTTTAGAAGGTTGATTGTGGAGGGAAGTGTAGAGTGGAAAGTTCCAGGCGAGTGGCGTGCCCCGGAGGTCTGTGGCTGAGCTGGCGGGGAGGAGAGAGGCAGGGTTTGCAAACCTGAGAGGTGAATTGCAGGCGAGTGGGTTTAGAGCTGCTGGCTGACACGCACAAGGAGAGATGAGTTCACAAGAGCTAGAAAACTGTTAATGGATCGGACCTTGCATGCTGAACGATTACAAAAAAGAGATTTTCCCTTCATTAGATAGTTTTGCTATAATCTTCTTGATTGCGCCTTTATTTTAACAATCACAAGTTTAGTGTAAGTGCGCTGCAGTATTCTTTATGGCTAATTGTTTGAATGTTGGCTTCATAGGGAAGCTATCCCTGCCTTCTATCCTTCCTTTCTCTCAGCGTTCCTCCTCCCTGTCCTCATTCAGCTTCCCTCTCCCTCCTTGACTTATCTGTTTTGTCCGCTGTCACCTTTGCAGCCTGCCTTGTGATTATCTTTATTTTAATCTGTATTTCTTTCCCATGTCTCCTCAAGGTCACGCTCCTCAGACGTTTACTGAGACAAATTCTCGGGGGGTGGGGGTAGGGGGGGGCCAGATGTCACACACGCACACACAGAAACATGCGCGTCCACACAAGCTTGAATTCAACCTCTGGGGTGAAGCCTTCAGAGAGGTTGCAATGAGAAAGAAAGACACAGATGCCTCCATCTCACACACACGATGAAACTCAGAATAAGATATGAAGGAGAAGGTGATTTGACTTTTACGATAAATTTGCTCTCATTTTCCTGTATGATGATTACATTCGGTTTACAGTTCACTGTAAATGTGTGGGAAAAGCATCTAGAACAGCTTGTTGGAAGACAGCTGGGACTTCAGCGTCACCACTGATATTTGGGGGAGCAGTGTTTGCCTGGTGTCACGGACTGATATCAATTGATTTCAAAGGAGTTTCTGCAACACACATTGGTACCATGTGGTAACTGTAACTTTTAGAGTAGGAAAACCACATCACTAACAAGTGCTTTAAATGTATTTTAGGGGTGGAAATCAAGACGTAATAACACTTTATTTTACCGTGTCCGATACTTTGCCTTTTTGAGTTCCTTCTTCCTGTGTGATATTGGTAAACGCTCTTCGGCACATGTTCTGATCTAATTTGGCACCACTATATTGATAATTGTGTCATCAGAGAAGGCAGTAAAATATATTGGTGCATCAGTATTTTGTCCCAGCCTTATTGTACTCAGCCAGTACCCAAATCTACTTGTAATTAAGAGGGCACAGAGTTTTGGGGGGTGGGGTTTCAGTTCTGAGGACCTTTAATGACATCCTTCTGTTTGCATTCAGCATTTGTCTGGTGGTCTTTCATCATCTGCATGGCTTTAGCGTCAAACATAAGGCCTGCGTGCCAGAATCAGCCTGACAAAGACCCCAATCTGGCCCGCTGGCAGGCTTTGGAAAATGTAAAGGAGGGCATAGATTTTGGTCTTTTAACTGTAGTTTTAAACCTCATGGACATTGACAGTACAGCAAAGTAATTCGGTTATAGATTTACACACATTCTTCCAATCTAAGCTCAAAGAGTCATGCTGACAGATTTCTTTCATTTACTACAGCAGCATTTCTTTACCATGTAGAAAACCTGAGACATAATGTTACAATTGCTCTTCTTTGTCTTACATTAAGGTCTCTCATTGATTGAATGCGTAGTTAAACCTTTTACACTGACAGAAATTGGAGTTTCACCAGTTCGGCCCACATAAGATCAAAGTGGGCTGTATGTAGCCCGCTGTATAAAACGAGTTTGACATTCCTGCTTTAGACAGAGTTAGTGCGAGAGAGCGGCATTACTCTGCAGGCTTTGCCTTCAGCATGCTCCGCTGCTCGCAAACACCTTGACTGTTCCCGCTTGTTTGTGTGTCTGTGTGTGTTTGCGTGACAACAGATGGAGACAGATAGAGGCTTTTATCCATTGATGAGCTGAGAACTGTATGGCGTGCACCACACGCAGTGCAGGGAGCCGCAGAGCAGTGGCAGTGAGGAAATTACTGCAGCGGCACAGGACAAAAAGTGCAGAGACCGTCAGTGTGGATCATCAGTTTAAGATAAGATTGGAAAAAGATTAGATGTGCTCTGCCTGTACCTCTGTTTCTGAGCGAGGAGGCATGTATTAATTAAGATTAATATACTAAGAGCATTTTAAAACTGAAGCGCGGCTTAACAAAGTAGAGAATACGATTAAAATTCTTACAAGGGAGATAAGACGAGAGGGAATGACAAGGTCGAGACAGAGAGATGGTTAGAAATGAAAAGCGAGCAGAGGACTGACAGCTGCTGATACACACGAACAAATGGAAAGTTAGAGACAAAGGCCAAATCTATAAAGATGAAGGTGAAAATGAAACAGAATAAATGATAAACGAAACACAACGAGAAAGATTTCTGTCTTTCAACACATTTTGATTGTTTCACAGTAAAATTTAAAGGCATGGAGTTATGTTTACGTCTGGGGCTTCAGTATCTTAAAGTCAGTAATTATTTGTGTGCGCTTAGTGGTTTTTATATAAACTGAAAAAAAAAGATAAAAACGATCTTTCTGGTTTTTGCCAGTAAAGGCTGCAAATGCAAACACAAACAAATATCATACTTTACACATGAGCACTATGTAGAAGTCTTTTTGCCACACTGTGTTTTAATTTTGCAGTCAGACAAAGGAAAACAGTGATACATGTCACTGAAACCGTAAATGCTTTACTTAGTCGCCACCGGGCCCTCTGACCACCACCAGTAGGCAACGGGTGAAGTGTCTTGCCCAAGGACAACGAGCCGGGGCTCGAACCGGCAACCTTCCGATTACAAGACGAACTGCCAACTCTTGAGCCACGATCGCCCCGTAAAACCGTGACACGATCACAATTACTGTGAGTGCGTGCAATGAACTCACAATCTTTGTTGCACCAAGACAGCAATAAAATGACAATAAGCTGGCAACAAGAATCAGTCTGCTACCAGTTGTGACTGAATGGGGTCAATTTAGCAATTACATGCAATCTGTTCATGATAATACAGAGATTAAATGTGATAAATCAGGGAAAATCTCAAATATATTCACATTACCTCCTTCATTCAGAGGAAATTTCACCAAGCATAGTTATCAGAAAGAGGGAAAACGTGGCCCCAAGGAGCAGACTCACAGAAATGGAGGACATTGAAAGGGATTTTATTTACAGTGAATCAACAAATTAAAGTTAGTGAGGCACGACTGGTGCAGATTTAGTGGGATGATCTAAAAGAGGGAAAAAACTGAGTTAGAAATAAAGGAGCTGCTGTAACTAAATTAAACAAAGGGAAAAGCAAATGGTGCTTACTCGTCACACTGTTGTGCAAGAGGGAACAGAGGGGTTACCAAGAGAGGCCAAGATGGGGAGACGAGATTGCAGGCAGGCAGGTGAGTGGGGAAGCCAGGTGGGTTACTCCAGGAAGCTTAAGGTTTGTAATTCTTCCAAATATGGTTTCATGGGTCTGGAGACAGTAAGACTAAACTAAAGTAGCACAGGAAAAACAGGTTTATAACTTGAAGCAAAGGAATAGGAGAAACACTAGAGATCCTAAAGGTTACCACAAAGACTGCAATAATGATCTGGCAAAGAACTGCCACTCCGTTGCTGCCCTGATAAGGGAGATCAGACACAACTATGTGAGGCAAACCATCCCCAGCCTGTCCAGACTCTCACAATGGTCAGTCTCAGGGCGTTTTCACACCTACAGTTCGTTTACTCTGGATTGAATCAGTTGATGAGTTTGTGAACTTGTAGCTTTTCCCCATGGTTTGTTTTCTTTTTGCAGAGAGAAAAATCCAAGTGAACTCTAAGCAAACCAAAATGCATCACCACTTACTAGATGAGTCTGCTTATTGGCCAGCTGTGTCTGGGCCGGGAGCAACAAAAGTAAATACAGGAAGAATGTTCTGTGTTCTGGAATACTACAAGCATGAACATGGAGAATGTTCATTCCACGGCTAGTTGCTAGCTCATACAGACGTTTGGACATCTATACTACCTCCTACATCCCAGAGTACAGAGCATGCATGGCTCCAGGAAGTTTTTAGCTCAGACTTGAAACGTACACCCGGTAGTTGGTTTGGATCGAGGTCAGATCACATTCACACCATAGATAAACTGCATTAAAGTTCATTTGGAACCAAACCATCTAAAAGGTCTCAGTGCGGTCGTTTTGGTCCACACCCAAGTGCGATTACCGTGTTCACACCTGCACAAGTGAAACACACCAAGGGGGAAAACAAACCAGATATCAATTTAAACAGAGTAAACACTGCAGGTATAAAAACATCTTCAGAGTCGGACCTAATTGTTTGGTGACCTGGGGTTGAGGGTGTCGCATGTTCTGAGCGACCAGTAACTTGTTATAGTGAATGCAAAAAGCATTCTATGCAATCACCAGGAAGCCACGACAGCCATCTCCTGGAAGTTTCCAGAAAACTAGAGCTACTGTGACTGGTCCATATTATGTAATTACGGTTATAAATCATATAAACCATTAAGAGCAGATCTTTAATTCTCAGTTGTTAGCTCTTATAGTCATGCTTACTAATCTGTCTCTGATTTGATCTTTGTTTATGGCAATTATGCAAGTGTTTTCAAAATTATTAATAGTATTCATTAACATTAAAATGCTACAAAAAGCACTTCTTAATTAAGTCCAGATGGCTCAATAACACCAACATCCTCATCCTGACATTTTAAAAAAATATTAGCTCACTATGAAATCCTGGATTTCGGGTGCCAATTTGTTTTGCCTAATTTCTCCTTTATTTTCTCTCACCCCCATCTAGAGGGCTAAAATTGGTCCGGGGAAGAACACAGAAGGGAAGTCAGCCAACGCCGCATCCCGGTTCGACTCCAATGGCAACCAAGACCGCATGAAGTTGTCTGACTTTAACTTCCTCATGGTGCTGGGCAAGGGCAGCTTTGGCAAGGTAAGACGTGATGTTTAAGTGTGTGTGTGTGTTACTGTTTTTGACATTTAACACCATCGACTTGGTGGGGATGCCAGATGGAAATTAGCCTGCATGGCTAAATCTGGCACATTTGTATTATATACCCTTCTGCCAATTAATATTTTCACTTTTTAAATAAAGTAAACAAAAAATAAAAATTTTCTATGGGATACAAGGTACAGTCACCCTTAAAATCCAAAAATCAGCACAATCATAGCTTAACAACTTGCTATATATTATGCTCCCTGTGACTTTGGCCTCTTAATTTACATGTAGTTTAAGTCGATATATGAGCCAGCTATCATGGACACAGAAAACCTTGTTTTTTTATAACTTGTGTGCTATAGCGAATATATCTGGGAGGCTCTTGTTTGTCTGTGTGTTTGTGTTTGTTTGCGCATCAGAGCTTTGCTGTATAACTGCAAACAGAGCTTACAGCAAAGGAAAGAAAACATGGCCAAAAAGAGGAGATGGAGACAGAGGGAATCAAAGGTGATGAAGCACGAGTAGGGCGAGGTGGATGAAGAGAAAGAGGTGAGGAAGATGATGCGACAAACAGGTAGGCGATGGAAGAAGAGAGGCGAGAGATGTGAGGCATCGCGACAAGGTTGACGTGAATAAAATGAGCGAGAGGTAAAAACGTTGGACTGAATGAAAAGCGGGAAAAGGCGGGGGGGGGTGTTAGAGTGATGTGAATGAATGAAAATCAAGGCAAGAAACAGAAAGAATGGGAAGATGCTGTGAAAGCCAGACAGAGGGGTAGAGCAGCAGGGTGGAGGGAGGCCGAAAGTGACATAAAGAGCACGAAAGAGAGAGAGAGAGACCATTGTCTGAGTATCAGACTTGTATGCCGGCTGCCTGTTTCCATGGTAACAAGCATTTAAAGCTACACTGATGCGTCATTGTAATGGAGCCTGAGTTGAAGCGCGATCATTACTGGAATACCCAACTCACACAGACGCAGACTGCTGAAGCATGCCGAGATACACAGCTTCAGCAGAAGACAAAGTGTACACACGCACACAAGCAAACACACACATGTTGGAAAGCACATTCCTGCAAATGTAAATCCAACAGTCATTTTAGTCTGTGCTATGCAGACGCACACACGCACCAGAACATTTTGTGAGACGAGTCGCTCACATGACGTGTGTGTCACTTTAAAGGTTCCTGAGTGTGCGTGGGAGGCTGCTAGGACCTGCTGCCACACAACCGGAGTAACACAATACTGCTGCAAACACTTCTCTGTGATTATAGGACACGTGTGCAGTCAAGAGGGCACGCTTCATTTTGGCCTGCCTCATCATTCTTTATACGCATGCATCGCGGCGTAATAAGAGCTGGAGTTGCACAGACACACAAAAATAACTTCAAGTTTACAGCTGCTGCTTCCCAAAGGCAGTTGGTGTCTCATTTTCATACGGCGCCACAGCAAAAACAGGCATTGCTGTGCAGAATAATGAATTTTAGCAAATTTAATGATAGCCAAAAGCAAAAATTGTCATTACTGTAAGGTCAAGGGTGTCAAACATGAGGCCCAGGGACCAGAATCAGCCCAGCAAGGACTCCAATTCGGCCCACTATACAGCTTCAGAATAATGAAGGAGGGCATAACGCTTTTTTGGACATTTATCGTATAGTTTCATTGGTTCGGTCCACTCAAGATCCAAGTGTGTTGCAAATGGTCCGCAACATAAAATACATTAAGGACTTATATTCTGGGAGTTTGTAGCCTTCTTTTTTTGAAAACACTGTAGAATAGACAGTAAGGCATGAAGATACCACAGGGGGGACTGACACAGTTCCCCGGGTGGGCTCCCTGCAGTAGCCTTTGAGCATATGGGTGAGGAATTGTGTTAGGATACATGAATGTTCCCTTTAGTTTTTTGGTGGGACACAGTAACACAATACCAGCAATAACACTTCAGCTGAGAGATGCATGTATTTTTAATCGCTGTAAAATCATTTTTGTGTTGCCAACATCCTTGCCTGGATTTGTGGCAATGGCTACAGTGTTGAATTATCCCTGGAAGCACAACATCAGGAATTATTTAAAAAAAAACCATCTCTGCACTTTCCATACTTTGCGCAGCCATCCAGTGGGCCTGGTTTGGAACCTCTAATAGGCCACAAACCTCATGCTTGACAATCCTCTAGACCAGCTAAGACTGTGTGGTAGTGGGCTATTACACAACAAATTAGTTCTTGGTTACAGTTTCCCCCCTTTCTCCTCACAGAAGACACTGCAGCCTGAGATTTGCTGTACACAGAAGAATAATTATTGGAGTAATGAACAAACTGATGGTATTTAAAAAGAAATGTTCTTCAAGCCCACCACACAAACACTGTAACTAAAGCCACTGCAGACATGATCCAAATGCAAAAGAAGGTCTTAAAAGTTTTCATTTAGGTTTTCTTGGAACACTCAATGCCTCAGTGGAAACAACAGCTGCGTATACTATATATAATAAATGACCGTTTTTAATGATACACACAGCCCACTGTGATGCAGCACAGTGCAGATTCTTGCAGGGCAGCATTCATTTTGCCTGGATAAATTCACTGTGCAAGGTCAGCAGAGAAAACACAGCGGCATCATTTACGACACATGACAGCTAATATCCTCGGGACGGCTTTCTGGCAAACGACCCTGAAAAACTTCCCAGGGTGCAAACAGTGACACACATGCTGCAACCGGTCTATGAGTGGATCAGACACCAAACATCCTTGTGGTCAAGCACAATAACTGGGAAGGTGAAAAAACAAGGATAATAAATGCAGAAGTTAAAATGTGTAATCGATGGTGGTGTAATGATGCCAAAAAGATCATGTTGTTACTGTCTGACCTGTGCGTTTTATGTCTTTCTCCTGTGCTGGTCTTGTCCTTGTGGTTGTATAAAATGAACTTTGGGCCAGATGGTGTCCTTCCTCTCTGTTTCAACTCTATAAAGTTTGTATTTACATAAAGTCACGCTGCCACCATATGCACACACGCACACACTCAGTTGTGTTCAACAAAGTATACTACCAGCTGAAGTTTTTAAAACTGGCAGCTGTATAACCAAAAACGCATATTAATACCCTGATACGTGCTCACGCACACACCCGTCTACATATATAACTGCGTCTCTTTGTCCATCTGTGCTGCACTCCCCACAGAATACCGAACCCAGTAACCTCTCTGCATTATCATACCTGAATATTTATAAGACATAAACAGCAAAGTTGCTAAGTTTCTCATCTCAGAGGGGAAAAGCGGGAATAAGAGGTCACTCTTATTGCTCCATTCTTAAAGAATTTAGAGAGAATAACGAGTGTGACATCAATGTGTTTGCACCGCGAAGCTGATGCTCATTTCCTGCCTCTAAATAATGAGTAAGAAGAAGTCATTTTTTTTTATTTCTTACGTCTTTGTGGTATATGTTTCTATTTGCAGACATACAGCCTGTAGAGATCAAGCTTGTGTTCTTTCTCACGGCTGTGTCTGTTAGCCTCAGAGGAATGGTCAAGTGGAATTTTGGTGACTAGGTTCGCCCTGTGGTTTGTGCAAATTAAAATCGAATGTTTAATAATAGATATAAATGCACAATACAACTGAATGAAAAACACCTTCTTGAGGTCACAGAAGTCATTTAGCCTCATGGGAACTACACATGGCAAACACCGCAGTCTTTCCACAGCATTCTAAAATGTAAGTTGGTGCCTTTGCCCTTATTCCAAGCAAGAAATCATTGAAATATCTTCACTACTAAGCAGAGATGGGCAGCAATGCGTTACAAGTAACACATTACTGTAATCTGATTAATTCTTAAGGTAATGAGTAAAGTAATTATTGCAAAAAAGTAATTAGATTACTCTTACTTTCCCGCAACCACGCTGTGTTGCTGCGTTACTTAATCGTGATTTTGTTTGAGTGTCTCATGACAATGACGTACGAGCGTGTGACGCCCGTGGCAGCAACAGACGTGTGGAGGAGATAGTACAACCATGCAGCGTTTAAAGCGTGGAAGTACTGACATTGCTTTGAGTTTGAGTCCTTAGAAAGTGACAAAAACATTAGCATCCATTGTACAGTCTGCGTGGGAGGAAAACTTCTTTTTACAGCAAAACATTAAACTTCAAATCTGAGCAAGCACCTAGCACGCTTCCACGGGAATGTGAAATTCACAGATCCCTCAACTGACATACCGCTGCGGCACCAGGCAAACCTCCGCGTGCTCCACTCTTGCTAAACAGGTGAAAACAGATTTAAGAGCAACAGGATTTAGTGCTGCTGAATCTTTGGTTTTATTTATTTTTTGCTGTGTTTTACTTGCATCTATTTGAAAGACACAAAAAAAACTATTTTTATGCTGGAATATGCAGAAAATAGGTTTGAATGTTAAGTAATAAGTAACTAAGTAATAAAGTAACTAATTACTTTTGGAAAATAAGTAATCAGTAAAGTATTGGGATTACTTTCTTGGAGAAGTAATCAGTAATTAGTAATGAATCACTGTTTTCAAGTGACCACCACTGCTACTAAGTCACAGTGACTTTCTGTAAAAAAAACAGACAAGTGTGAAAAATGAAGCACAACCTTATTGCTTCCATAGGAATGAGGGGGTAACATTAGCCAAATTATTAGCTGATTATTAGCACGTGGAAAGATAGAAGCAGAGGCTTTAGCAGTTTGCTGCTCTGTAGCATTCAGGTGTCTGTTAACACAATGCCACAATCTTCCCAGGAGTGAACGTCCCAGCAAATTCAGTTCAAGGTCAGGGTCAGAGAAACTACCGACAGATTGTGCAGACCTCAGTTAGCATGTTAAATGTAAAAGCTCATGACAGTACAGAAACAAAACTGAAGGAACCACAAGAGTTCTTCCACAATATGCTTTGAAAAGAGGAGAACGAAGCTGTTTGGCACCACGTTTGGCAACAAACAAACACAGTATATGGGCACAAACGCCTCATACCAGCTGTCAAGCACGGTGGTGGAGGGGTGATGATTTGGGGTTGTTTTGCAGCCACAGGACCGGTGCATCTTACAGTCATTGAGTCGACTAGAGTCACATGTAGTAGTACATTAATATGCCTCTAGGTTAAAATTCAACATATAAGGAACAGTTAATTTTGTAGCTGTGTGGTTATATAGGCTGAAACACACCAACTCTCTGCATTTCTCAAATTATCTCAATGTTACCTTAAACATGAATGCTGCACACACACCCTCAACAGGCTCCTGTAAATCCTTTCTTTCTTTGAAGGTTGAATTTAATTGAACTTTTGCTCTGGTCACAAGTCTGTGTGAACCTTTCATGACACCTGGTCCGCATTTGGCAACCACATAAAAGTAATCACAATTCAGGGTGTGTTTATTTTCATTTATGTGCATCTCATAAGTGGATTACAAGAAGCTGGCATCCTTGAATTCCCAATAAAAAGTCAAACTTGAGTGCTGCCAGGCAGTTTCTGAGTTCGCCCATGTGTCCCTCACAACACCCTGCCCTTCTTAAAATTTATTTAACCTTTTTTTCTGTTTTTTAATCCCAGTCTCTTCACCTATCAACCTTCCTTTATCTACAGTTTCCCCACACTGTGAACCATATGATCCAGGAAATGTGAAATAAGCCCTTTTTACTTTGATTTTTGTCTTCTTTGTCTTTTTTTTTCTCCTTTGCTTCATCCTTACTGTTCATGAAGGGCAAAAGGAAGTCGAACAGTATAAAAATCTTTGAGAAACTCTGACTAATATTAAAGTTATCACAAGAAGAACCACTGGCTAAGCGCTTTCTCCCCTTGCAGGGAGATTGCTGCAGCAGCTTTTAGGTTTTGCGTCCTCTAACGGCACCATTATGTTTAATACTTGTAAGAGTGGCGAGTTTCGAATTCATTATATAATTAATGTTTGTTAAAGCCTTGCTAGCCATCCAGCAGGGGTTATTGAACACAGATTTTGTGGCTTACAGAACAGGCCGTTAAAAAATGTCTCGATTACGATTAATTTTTGTTATCTCGCACAAATTGTACCCATGTAATGTATGTGATGTATAAAAATGGCTTTGAGTGACTCTGTAAGCGGCTTCGCATCATCCCATTTTCCTCTTTCTCTCCTTTCTTATTCCCCTGGTTATTTCGCCTCCATTGGCGTCTTGAAAAGTGATGAATCGGTTTCTCTTTGTCTTTTTTCTCTTTATTTCTTACTTTGACTGTCTAACCCAAAACAGTCAGAGAAGCTTTCCTTCATCGCTCTGATCCTTTATCCCCGTCCTTCACAATACCTCCCCTGTTTCTCCTGTTTCTCCTTTTCTCTCTCTGTTTCTTTCCCTTCTTTGTTGGTACAGAGCCATGACAGCAGCTGTGAGCCTTAAAGATTTTGAATATTGATGAATTCATCTTCTTGCATTTCCCACATGTTCTTTGTTCGCCCTCTCTCTAAGGTGATGCTGGCAGAGCGCAAAGGAACCGAGGACCTGTACGCTATAAAGATCCTGAAGAAGGACGTCGTGATCCAAGATGATGACGTAGAGTGCACCATGGTGGAGAAGAGAGTGCTAGCTTTATCTGGAAAGCCCCCGTTCTTAACACAGCTGCACTCTACCTTCCAGACTATGGTGAGTGGGCCGACATGTTCCCACCGAATATATCTCACTGAGATATATTCATTTTATTTTATACAAACTTAAAAGCTGCCCTGTTTTAACTTGTCACTCCTTAAATTTAATTGGCACTTTCAGAATATACTGTCATGTTCACCATCATGGATCTCACACAAGTAATAGACATTAATACCAATGCTGAAGCTAACACTTTTTTAGGTACACCTTGTTTTCACCTTGAGAATTTCCTTCATTCTTCATGGCACAGACTTAACCGGGTCATGGAAATATTCCTTATTTATTCTGGTCCATGTTGACATGGCTGCATCACACATGTTAATCTCCCATCTCACCACAACTCACTGTTGCATTCAAGAAACCATGATTTGAGCTTTGTGACACAGTGTGTTATCCTGAGGATGGTGCACTGTAGGCAAAAAGGCTGCTAAGTTGGTACTAAAGGGCCCACAGTGTGCCAAGAAATACTATTACACCCCCACACAAGGCAGGAGGAATCTGAGGTTTCATGTTGTTTATGCTAAATTCTGACCTTCAACACTAATCAGACCAATGCTTTTCAAATATTTTAATCCAGTTTTGTTAAGATTGTGTGATTTGTATTCTCAGTTTCCTGTTCTTAACAGGAAACAACAAACACTCCACATTCAAAGTCACCTAAATCCCATTTCGCCCCCTTTATGATGCTCAGTTTGGAGTTCAGCAGGTCACCTGCACCGTGTCTACATGCCTGAGTGCATAGAGCTGCTGCCATGTGATTAGCTAACTGGATATTTGCATTAACAAGTAGTTGAACTTTATAATGTGCATTAGTCCTAATGATGAGTCAGCAGAGGAGTAAATATAGCTCTCCTGCTTCATTAACACTCATCTCTGCATTCTCACTGATTAGTGATGTGTTGTAAATGCATTTGAATGACAAAAGTAAATAAAACCGATCTGATACTGACACACACACCTACACACACACACATTTTGTACATCAAATTCAGTTATTACATGCAGGCAGTTATTACAGTCATGCATGCACACATCCATACAGTAATATGGCGCCTATGCAGTGCATACACAAGTACAGTTAAACCACACACACTCACACACACACAGATACTATAGGCTCGCACACAGAACAAGCAACTGCTCATAAGACTTATCAGGGAGTACAGACTCTAACACTAAAAAACTTCGCAATAAACTCCAGAACACACAGACACACACACCAAATCCCTCCACATTTTCTCACTTACTGAAACTTATTGGCAATTTCTGTAGATAATGGAGGACTACAGGTCCCTAAATTGATGTCACCGTGTTCCCTCAGTTGAAGACTTATTGGATCCACCGACAACCCAATCACCACTTTTCTCCCCGTCCCCCTCACTTCCTCTGTCATATTTTCTGCATCTCTCCTCTGATCTTCTCTCAATTCGCGCATCAAACTCACAGCAGTCCCTTCCACCTCCACAGTATTTTACGCTCCTTTGACCTCTCATCCATTTTTATTAACGTGCACTTTGTGACCTGTCTTTCTCTGCTTGCCCTTCTACGCCCCCTCCACAGGACCGTTTGTATTTTGTCATGGAGTACATAAACGGCGGAGATCTCATGTATCAGATACAGCAGGTCGGCAAGTTCAAAGAACCTCACGCTGTGTGAGTACACACACACACACACACAGAAAATCAGAGCCCCGTGAAAGCAGGTGTTTCACACTTTAGTAATACCTGTTTAAATCGTGGTGAATAAGCCATCATCAGCTTGACTGGTGATGGATGAGCAATCCCAGCAGAGCCCGGAGGTGAAATATGTTGTTTGCCCCCAATGCAGCTTGCTGCTCTGAAGAGCTTCAAAGAAATGAAAGTAATCCAGCAGCTCCTGAGAGTTTTCAGTGCATGGCGCAGTACCTCCAGAACTGCAGAATATAATTACGGTGGCTGGCGAGATCGCTGGTGTCAAGCCCAACCAGCAGGCTGACACATTTGACAAGTGGGGCTGTCGGTGTCGAGCGAGAGCTGTTGAGGAGTTAGCCCTTCATGTAATTCATAGAGAATTAAAGTTTCTTCTCTATGGCTGAAGGTTCAGACTGCAGAGGGGGTAAGTCGAAGTACACGAGGAACTCTTTTAACTAAGGCCATCAGCTTGTTCGCTCTCTTTTTTTTATTAAACAGGAAATCCTTCTCCACGGATGATTAAATTGCTTTGAACTTCAGTGTTGCAGTGTCTTTTTGTATATTGAGAGCTTCAGTATTTATTCTTTAATGCTGCTGCTCATCATTCTGAGCACAGAAAGAACATCTAATTAGCTCCAAACGGGCTCTGCACAGTTTTCACAACCAAATGACTCTTGATGTCTTTAAAATGCGCTTTTTAAACGCAGAGAGCGCATGCACGCCCGCGCAAGCGTGGCCGACTGTGCGGTCTGTCCGTCCAGACCTCTGCCGCTGATCTTATCAGCTGCTTGCTGGCCTTGAAGAGACAGGAGTGACCTTTACTCTGACACGCGCATACACACACACAAATGATCTGTTTTCCTGCTGTCCTTTTTCTCGGCCTCTGTCTAATTGCCGTTGTTGTTGCCGTTTGTGTTTTGTGTGTGTGTGTGTGTGTGTGTGTGTGTGTGTGTGTGTGTGTGTGTGTGTGTGTGTGTGTGTGTGTGTGTGTGTGTGTGTGCAGATTCTACGCTGCAGAGATAGCGATTGGTCTGTTTTTCCTACATCAAAAGGGCATCATCTACAGGTAACATCCATAATACAACCTACTAAACGCAGAACATTAACCAAATATAGCTGAGCTCACACAGTAGTACGTACCTGAAATAGTGCAAATGAAATCCACGGTGTGTCTTTTTTCCAGTTTCCCCCTGTCTGCTCCTCTCCAGCGTATGTCGGCAATTTCTTCCTGTTAAAAGGGAGTTTTTCCTTCCCACTGTCGCCAAGTGCTTGCTCATAGGAGGTAGTTTGATTGTTCGGGTTTTCTTTGCATTATTCTAGGCTCTTTATCTTACAGTATAAAGCGCCTCGAGGCGGCTGCTGATGTGATTTGGCGCTATATAAATAAAACTGAACTGAACTGAATGAATTACTACCATGTGCCAAATATACTCTTATACAATATGGAAGTTTATAAAATCAGGAAGTTTCAGAGTGAATTTGTGACTTGTCAGTAAAGTAAAGTTTCTTTCAGCACAGTATTAGCAGCTAGGATAATTAAAATGAACCTGTTGTGCTCATTTCCAGCACTGTTGTGTTCTTCTTGGACTACTAGAGAAGTTTTGTATGACTGGCAGTTCAAAATAGTCTTAATTTGTTAGAGTGATGTCAGTTTGATCACTACTGGTGTATTGCTACAAGCCAAAGGTGAATGTGAGCTATTCAGTACTATATATGTTTTATTATAAGGTACTTCACAAATGTAAAAGAAATGAGAAACAATGTAAATTTAACCTTTCTTCACATCTAACACATTGTTTGGACTAACGCAGGCATTCACTTCAACATGAGCTGGAAGTTGTACATAATGTAGATCCATCTGTAATGTTCAGAAAGGGTTGTACAGTCGAACTGATGCAGTCTCAATAGCTGAGGATCACATTTCACAAACCTTTTGAGCCTCTAAATTGAATTGTAATGCAGATTTGCCGTTTCGAGTATCGATGCCAAGTTATGTTGATTAGTCTGTTGTTCCTTTTTGACTTTGCTTCACCCTCTCACAGAGACCTGAAGCTGGACAATGTAATGCTGGACTGTGAGGGCCACATTAAAATAGCAGACTTTGGCATGTGTAAAGAGAATATGAATGATGGAATCACAACCAAGACCTTCTGTGGCACACCGGATTACATTGCTCCTGAGGTAAAGTGTGTGTGAGAGTGATGGTGGTTGGATCTGTTGTATTGATCTCTCACTGTTCTCCTGCAGTAGCTACACAGCTCAAAAAGAGGCTAAATAAAACTTTTATTTTGGAAAAAACTTTGCTTTCTTGCAGACAACTAGAAGAGAATACTCTCGTGTTTGCATGTATGTAGCTGGAGCCATGCTTTACTTATTAATAGTACTTCTGTCCTAATGTAACAGGAGCACTTTCTAAAGCTCACTAAAATACTACATTAAATTTGTCTAATTTGTTAAAATACCCAACGCTGAAAATGACACATTTCAGTTTTGCACTAGTTTTTGTGCCAGACTATTTCTTGGCCAGAAGCAGGGATTTCCTCAAGTCTTGCCGTCTTTTTATGTAACACTCAGCAGAAACGCCAACGAGCATCTCTCCATGAAAATAAACTCTCCCTTAAAGTGTCGGTGGTAGTTTGGTAGTTCTATTAGTATACATAAAGATACTTTAATTGCATTTCAGCCTCACTATCAGTTTGCTCTCATGTCAGTCAGCCCATGTAGTCTAAACGTCCCTCAAAATTAACTGACTGTGTAGGTATTATATTTGGGAACATTATTACCTCCTGGATTCACACAATAAAAAAGCCTTTCAGTAAATTTACTGCACTCTGCTAAAGTAAATAGTTCTACCACTGTGAACTTGGTAAGTCAGTTGCAGGTGTGGTGCACACGTCTTACTTTTGATCCATAAAACTCATAAAGCTCATCTTGCACGTGAAGCAGGTGTTTTTCTAATTGATTTTTTCTCATACAAAATAAATGTGGTGCGCAAAAGTCTTTCACAAAATAGTATCTGCAGTGTTGTCTACAGTCCACAAAATGCCTGTACTGGTTTTAAAAAAAATGCTGCTCTGCCCCTTAAGTGCTCGTTAAGTATCGGCAGTAACCCTGTGGGGACGCGTACTGTACTTGTATTACAAATAACAAGAAAAAGTGAAGTCTAATTTTAAGCACTTTTAAAAATACAGCAGCTGTTGTACAAAATGAGTAAAATACATAAAAACAATTAAAAAAAGAGCATAAATAAATAAAGCAGCACAAATACAAAGGGATCAGAACTTAAAAATAGATTTCAAAGCATCTAAAAGCCAAACCTGATCTCCTCTGGGTTTTAGTAGTTTAGTTTTGAGTATTTGACCAGCAGACCTCAGTAACCTAGTGGGAGTGTGCAAAGTCAAAAGATCAGAGAGGTCAACCCAACCCAGTGCGATGCATTCAAAACAAACAATAAAATCTTAAAATGATTTCTAAACCTGACTCACTGGCAGCCGGTGTAGGGGGAGCCAGTATGGGTGATATGTGGTCTCCCAGTTAATAGCCAATAACGCTTGATGGAAAGAACGACTTATCACTGTTGACTTTATTTTATTTTTTTTGACTGGAGCTATTGTTTAACAGATAGGATCATTTTCTTTAATGCTGACTACCTTTGTATCATAGACTGAAGCGATGACTGCAGCATTTCTGAACAATGTGTCTCCTATGCTCAGATTATAGCCTACCAGCCTTACGGGAAATCTGTGGACTGGTGGGCCTTTGGCGTCTTGCTCTACGAGATGCTGGCTGGACAGGTTGGTGTGTGTGTGTGTGTGTGTGTGTGTGTGTGTGTGTGTGTGAGAGAGAGAGAGTGGGTAATTGCACAAAGGATTTATTAATCTTGGTTAAGGAAAAAAAAATATAACACCATCTTTGGATCCACATGAATGTGTGATTCACGCTCCTTTCAGAGCAGCGTTTTGTATTCACGGCTGAGTGTGAATAAAAACAAACACTCCTGATCTCAGCCTTTAAAATGTGACACTGTGTAATGAAAGGTTAGCTATTAAATTATATGCTATAATGAGATTTTCTCTCGTGGCATTAATAATTGTTAAGATGTGACATTTTGAAATTCTGAATATTTCATTTAGAGGCCTGCAGCTTTTAGATTCTTGGGAGAAAAAAGCTGCTTTTAATGAATGAATCAAGTATCCTCTATTTGTCCTGTGCTGCCTTCTGCTTCTCCTCACTCATTTCTCTCCTGTCCTCTCAAGCCTCCATTTGACGGAGAGGATGAAGATGAGTTATTTCAGTCAATCATGGAGCACCACGTCTCCTATCCCAAGTCAATGTCCAAGGAGGCTGTCGCTATCTGTAAAGGGGTGAGTGTACGAAAAACACACACACGCACAAAGCACGCTTTAAGCCGCGAGTCCTTGCCCGTCTCTCAAGCTCAACCTCGCTCCCTCCTCGCAAACTCACTCTCCCGCTTTCTGTCTCGCTTCCCGTATCCTCCTGACACTCTTCCCTCTTGAACACAAACATGCCGAGGAGAGAACGAGGAAGGGATTAAATCCGCTTGAGGAAAGGATGCGGGAAGAGGGAGGAGGGTGAAAGGAGGAAAAGAAGGAGACATCAAAATTATCTGCATAATTAAATCCATTGTGGTGGAACATTTATTTGGAGCGAAACAACATTGTTCCCCTCTCGCTATCTTCCCCACTTCCATCTCGCCCGCCGTCTCTGTCATAGCGCTGTCCTCGTCCATCCTTCCCCTCGCGCTCTGCAGTGTCCATTGTCAAGCTATTGTTGTGCCTTTTTTTTTTCATTGTACATCCCCTCTATCTCTTTATCACACACACATACACACACATTAGATGGCTCTAATAGCTTGAGCCTGTGCAGTTGGCTGTAGAAACTCCTTTTCAGAATAGACTGGCCAGGCCTGATTGCTGCACTCGGATTATTTGTGTTTTGCGGACACACAGTTTGTGTCACACACCCTTCGTCACATACCAGAAAACTGGAGAGAGAAAAAAATATCAATAAAATATTATTTTATCTTTTGAAGTTCTGCAGTACCCACAGAAAGCACCTACACATTAACATCAGTGTGTAGCGCGAGCGTGGATGAGGACACACACGCACACATTTGTTCCAGCATGACCTGAGTCATACATCCTCCTACTAAATTTAAAGGCAAAGGCATTCATAGGTAAATTACTGACAAGTACGTTCGCTGCATTACAAACGCCCACACTGGCTGTGTTATGTATTAGTGATGATTACCGGGTTGTAGTGCTGCAACAGTGCATCCTCAGTGGAGCATGAAAGCTCGCCTCCGTCCACCCCCAGAGCTCCCTCTGCACCCTGCTAGGACTGCCTGAGTTAACTCAGTGTGTGTGTGTGTGTGTGTGTGTGTGTGTGTGTGTGTGTGT